TCGAAGTTCTAAAGAACTCCACATCATAAACAGTTATAGATTGCAAGCAAACGTGGCGGAGAACCTAGATGTGAATAGTCACCAGTTTTGCCTGTAACGATAACACAGGATTCTCCTTTTCGGAAATATAAGGCGCGGTTAGTTTTTATATCCGTTTTGAAAAACGCCAGCGGTTCTTCCCTTCCATTGTTGCTTAGACGCTCAAGGCCTTCTAGTATGGGAATATCTTTTACTGTGCACAAAATGCTCAGCTAACATCTGGCAATACTCGATGTCCACAGTTTTGACGCGGCACTCGTGTATCCGTCAACATCAGATGGGTTGCAGTAGTTTTTCGGATAGTCTGATGCGCGTAAGAATCGGACGGAAGATGAGGACTTTTGCTCGGTTGTTGCACCCATCCAAATGTACAAATCTGAATAAATTTCCTCAGTATGCGTTTCCCACAGTGACAAACCAGGGAACGTGGGAAACTCCCAACCGCTATTCAGTTCATTTTCTAATTCTACGGATTGAACCAAAAGGCGTACTCGATTTGTCGTCTAAGAGTATAAAGTGATCATGTCCTGGCATGCCGTTTAACCATATTTAATCAGTTTAATTTGTGTAATACCCTATGAATTTCTCCGTTTTATTATTCAAACTATTAATAATCCCGGACTCCTTGGTTATTTGACACGCTTAATCAATGTATACGATAGCCATACATAATCATGCAGTCAAATCAGAGAAGTAATACTAAGAACAAATTCATCATTTGAATCGTTTGGTGCATATCTCCAAAGCATGGATACTGCCAATCAAATGAGTAAGTTTACCGAATCTGCTGGATTCTGTCCACCGGTCAGATCTGTCTGCTCGACTGGGGAGTGAACACTATGCTTTTTTTTATCTAGTCGCTTTCCGCTTTGGTAACTGCTGCCCCCCCTGGGGGGGGGGTGTCCTTCTGAAGACATGCGCAACTTGAATGAATGTACACTGATCCAGTACCACCATGAATGCCCGATCTGGACATTTCATTGAAAACTGGTACAATTGTTCACGTAAAATACCGTTTTGTTCTTATGCGAAATTCGAGCGAAGACAATGTAATCGTTGTGGTCCGGTATCACCACGACCTCCAACCAACGCTTACAGTGGCATTTAGCACATTCAGCCCAAGTGACACGTTCGAACCCGCATCGCGGATATAGACACGTGACATCTGAAGTTAGTCGGAACAGGGCTGTGTTGGTTGCTTTTGGCCATCATCGAGTAGGTGTGGACACGGATAAACTGAACTATGGCAAAGATAACACTGCAGCTGTTCACATTGGTAACGCGTTTTTCTATTGACTTATACACATCCATATTGGCGCAAGTCATGCTGATTATCATTAAAGCTATTGGAAAACATAATAACGTGCTTGTCGAAGCACCTAATCTGCAAATTATTAGCACTGAATACTCAATACTGCTTCCAGACAAAAGCGGTTTTGCGCTAATTCCTAGACTGACAGATGTCAGGTCTGTGTGCGTATATTCATTTCGAAGACAGGCACAGGTGTGAAGTAATAAAGGTGGGGATAATGTGCTTTCAAGAAAATTTTCCGCAGGTATCTATATACCAATTAATACAGTGGTAATTCACCTGAACAAAATTCTTAGTACGGTTAGTTCGCTGATGTTTACTGTAAATGAGAGCGGCAGAGCAAGAAGAAGGTTTAATTTTTTTTATTGCATGAAGAACCGAATGCACAGTAGAAGGGCAGACTTCATAAACAGAACTACTATGTACAACAGACAGATGGGAACGTTCACAAAGGACAAGTTGTTGATTCAGTGTGCAAATATAAAGATTTATCAGGGTTTCTCCTACACCGGGTATTCAGATTCTTAAACGCCTCGAGTCGAATTCTGAGTTTCACTGCTGCAGTAGGTAACAATAACCGACCATCAGCATATATTTCAGTGTAGCTTGAACTAAATTCTGGTGCAGTATTGATTGACTGTCAACCACGTCAAGTAAAATGTTCCCCGAACATCTCACTGCCATTTGCGTGGTGGTGAGCGCAGAGATGTACACGCACGCCTGCACGGATCAGACGGAGGCTGTGTGTACGTTCTTGTGTGCCATAGTTTGGTTCGAGCCAGGCAGAAATCTACGCCAATGATCTTTAATCTTTGATTTCTGGCTGTGTCTGCAGTGATGAGACAAAATTAGACTTGAGCCGTTTGAGAACTTGTGGTGTAACAGAACTCCTGATGCATCTGCAGATATATAGAAAGACGAAAAGCATGGAGAGGTTCCATTAATTCGCGGTTTTCAGGGAGAAAGCTATGACATCGTTTGGTAGGCGTCTCCATTAATAAGGGTGGCTTATCGGGGGTTTGACCGAGTCTTATGAGCTAATAAAAATACATTGTTGACCAATTCGGCAAGCTACACAAAGCAAGACATGTAACAACGATGAATACGGACAAGACAGTCGGTTGCAAGGCGTGTTAACCAAAAACTTGGCACCAAGGAGACAGACTGCACTAATCACGGTTAAAAGCTTCACCTTAGAAATAGAGTCAGTATTTTGTAGGGGGATAAGTTCGGGCCTTGTAAATAGTGGAACTTTGAGAAGAAATGAAAACCGTTTCGCTTCGAAAGGGTAGGGAACTATCCGGGGCACGCGTGGTGCAATATTAGATGTGCAGAGGGGCAAAGTAGAAACCAACTGGAGAAAATGTGGAAACAAATGATTAACAGTTGAACTGTGGATTGATAACCCAAAGATTACGTTTGCAAAATACGGGTATAATTATGTTTTGGAAATATTGAAGACGACTGAAATTTTACTGTCCAAACACAAAGCACACAATCAATCATGATTGAAGGTGATGAAGGGGGAACGAGAAGTGTTGCAAAAAAGAAATCCAGGTGGGGTGGTATCCGCAAAAGCATGGATAGGGATGACAAGTTCGGATAAAGAACTGTCGATGAGGAGTTCACCGTGACTGCTCTAGAAAGGACACCATCAACCCGAATTGAGAGAGAAAAACAGCCACGAATAATCTTCCATATCCACGCGATGGAACCGTGGGAGTCCGAAAGTGTGGGGTTTTGCCAAACTCGTATGGATGCGTTGGAGCTGTGCAGTAACCAGATGTAACCAGCCAGCAGTGAAGGATCAAATGTTTGACGTGTATGCCAACAGATCACCGGTCCATACGTGGGAGCCGCATTGGCGGTCGTTGAGACGTTCGCAACGATTCAAGTGACGACGGAATTGTTTTGTAATCACTAGTTATATACATTTATCTTAGAGTAAAAAACGCGACAGTTCAGTACAATTCTTGGAATGCCCTCTGGGCGGGGTGGCTTAAATGTATCCAGGGTACCTGATACTGGATAGAAACTACTGGCCGTGATTCGGGGACGACGTTCTGTCGTGAAGAGAAGAAGACTGGTTGATGGAATTGGGAGCAAAAAACCTCAGATCGTTGGGAAGAGATGGAGGACCGGATAGTCAAAGGCGTTATTAACTGATGTCCAAAACTGGGGTGGGTGGTCGCCTCGATATGGAAATGCGGGCTACCTGAAGAACAGTTGGCGGTTTTGTTAGTCTCACGACAGCCATTCCCAATCCCCACTACGATTGGACAAACTTCAAGAGAAGGTGATCACTAATAATGGTCGATGGTGCCAATAAGTAGCCGCCATGGTCTGCCCGCTAGGATGGCGATCCGGGCTTTGAGTTGGATTAAATATGAACCCCCATCCACAAATTCTCGATCACACGGAGGAGCGAGTGATGCTGATTTGTTTACAAATACACACACACCTTTGAATGGGATTGGTGGTAAGTGCGAAAACAAGGGACCTTTTACGATCGCTTGGAGAATATATACCTCAGTCTCGGAGCAGAATGTGATATATGGGGTAAAATCAGGGCTGCAAAATCGCCGTTCCGGTTAAGATCGCGAATGTCAGAGGGAGCAACCCGAAAGTGTGTTAATTTTAGCGTATAAAACGGTACAGATTTGTGTTTGCAAATTTGTGATGCATTGGTTTTGAGAGGCTGACATTCGTCAATCTTATAACCGCTCAAGTTCACTGTGCTAATTCCCGATAAACGTGTTCGGAAAATGAGTTTTACCGGTCTATTACATCCGAGGGATTCAGAAGTATTTACATGAGAAAATGGCCAAGTCATGCAGTTGATTAATGTCTGATCACTAAGCGGTGGAACACAGGCGAAACGATAAAGTTTTGAGCTGTACTCAACATGCGTCATTAGAGTTTTGGATCGATCGCTGTTTTCCAGTCACGGGTGGCAATGGATCATTAATCTAGCATCGAGTTGTTTTGAATAAACGGTGGGCTATCGCACCATCATCCTAAAGTTTATTGAATAACAGATGTGATCAGCGGTCCGAATCAATAGTATACGAGAACTGAGCAAAATGTTTCCGGATGCACAAAAAGTTTTTGTTACGCAAATAAGCATTACATTTTCTCCAAGTATTCTTCAACAAGGTACATTTGCTCATACCCTTTAGTGCAACAGCTCGATCGTGCCGAAGTGGGTGACCCTTCGACCAGTTCAATGGAGACTGCAGCTGTTGGTGATACGTGTCGGGTTCCACGCATCATGCGCTTGACATTTCTGAACACAAAATGTCACACGGAGTCAGGTCTGGACTGTAGTGTGTGACCGACTTCCTGGATGCATTCTCTGGCCAGAAAATCGTGGACGACATGAGACCTGTGTGCAAGTGCGTTGTCATGGTGCAGCAAGATACCTCTCGAATCCTTGGACGATGATTGGCAACAGCTTTCATCACTTCAGACAAACAGTGAGTGGCGTACCAGTCTGCGATAACTGTGCTTTGCTGTATGAATGGTACTGTAGCTATATGACTGCTTTTGGTCACACACATCTACTTTATCACACTGCGCTCGCGTCGGAATTTCTGAGGCGGCGCCCCACCACCATATGTTGCTTGGTCTGTGGGTCTAAACCATACACCTAAGTCTCATCACTGATGATCTCCCGAACTACATTGGAACTTCCATCATCAAACTTGGCAAGCATGGTCTGGCACCAATTCACCCGAGCTGCTTTCCATTCCTCACGGAGCTGATGGGGTACCCAACGTACGTAAACCTTTCGGAGGCCGACCTTCTCATGTAGGATGGTGTAAATTGATCCCCATGAGATTACGATGCCTTTCACCAGCTGCGCCACTGTCATCCGCGCATCCTTCATCATCGCTTGCATAACAGCAATGTTGTCTGATGTGGTGGTCTCCACAGGTCAACCGGAGACCGCCTGCCACGCACCAATTCCGCAAACCACCCAAACGCTTGACTGCACGTGATCACCCAAGGTAGCTCGCAAACAATAAACTTTCTACTACTGCTGCTTTAAACCACATTTGTAGTCTTAGAAAATCATTGGCCTCCAGCGAAATTGACAGAGTTTCATCCTAATAGTTTGTGTATAGCGACCCTTAGGGCTGGGAGTTATCGTTCGTGAGGATCTAGGATGTTCCACACATTGTGCCAGAGTGTCTTCGAAGGCTATAAAATAGGTTTGATTGCTAAAACGTGTTTTTGGATCATTGGAAACAGACGTATTCCCCCGTTTATTATGGGCATTCATTAGACCACACCGAGTACGCTATACAGGCTTGGGACCTATGGTTGATTCGCGACCAAAAGGCACTTGAACGTCCGCATAGAACAGCAACCAAAATGGTCAAAAAGTTACAATCTAAGACCTACGGTGAAAGACTGTGAATTCTCGGACTCTTCGTATGAATACCGTCGAATACGGGGAGACATGGTCCTCGTTTATCAAATACTACAACCTAACCACTCGTGTAATACTCTAGTGACGCTATCCAGAAATGGTCAGCTCCAAGGATATCCGTTTAAACTTCTACCCCAAAAGAACCAGCTGGACTGCAGGCATCATTCTTTCAGCCTCAGAGTTTGTAATACCTGAAACTTTCTTCAACCTCAAGTTGTCTGAGCATCAACCATCGATTCATTCAAGTCATGAGTGGATGAAGCATTGAACCACCTAACTATTCAGTAGCCGTGAGTGAACGTCAGAATTTGCTATTCCTTTGTACTACGAACCGAACCCCGTGTGTACAGACCCTATAGGATTCAGTAAGCATCAGCTTTGAAATTTATCCATAATAAAAATTTAAATTTGTAAGCTGTACTGTAAGCTGTACCGTTGATATTTTGTTCTGTGAGTTGATATCACAATAGATTAGAATTCACGTTCTGCTCGCTCAGTCATCTGCACCCCGCCCTCTTATATTAGTAACCGACTGCTTTAAACTGAATCATTAAAGGGTTCTGCTCTTCTCACTGCGTTTGTGTAATGCTCTTAGAGAGGAAATCCTCAACTTCAGACTGCAATCGGTCATCCGCTGTTGTTTCTGTCCCAGGAACTGTACAATCCAGCGAGTAATACTAGACTACGAAACCCGAAGTATCGAGATAGAGAACCTTCATTAAAGTCTTTTTGAACAGCGCACTTGTCACCTCTTAAAATCACATTAGCGGAAGAAATCCGTGAAAATCTGCACCCACATCGATCGGCTTAAAATACCAAAGACCAGTATTGTCCAAATGAGTTGTTGAGAGGCCAATATTAGTATGCCTGTAGAATAAATTCTGCCCATATTGACACACTACACACCCAGCACCACTATCCTGTTGTCCATTGTCTTCCCTTTGACCGTGTAATGTTGATTTCATCACCTCATTGATCCGGCCTATGACTGTTCTCCACGCCGTTTACACATACGCACGCACTGTTAGTATGTTTGCCCCATTACGTTGACCTCTGTCGGTCTCACCCGTCTCATCGATCCGTGCCCATGATCGACTGACTCTGACACTTGTGTACACACGCACGCACACAGCTACACCAATTCATCGCACTGTCCCGTAACGACGGGCCCTGATGACACATTTACACCCACTGTGTTGTGATTGGTTCCCTCTAGGTCGCTTCTCACTATTGACCACCACGGATTCATGTGATCCTGTTCGACAATGTTCGGTGTATTGGTTTTATTGTCATCGCACTGCGCGCCTGCTTGCTCGCAGTTCCTGCTCGTCGAATTACTGGCTTCACAGATTCCGGTGTTTTTAACCGGCTAGTGCCACAGTTTGAGGTTTGCATATTTTTGCTATTGTAAACTGTTTTTCAGTACCGCATTTGTAAAAGAAACCTATTTGTTGAAAGACACCGTCTTCCGGGGTTTTTGCGCGTCATTCTACGTAGATCGTTGTAGCCTGTGAAGTCAACAATGCCTGTGGTGAACGAAAGCACTTTCCCTCCCCGCAGATTGTGTTCAGGCCTTATTAAAAGTCACCTATGACTTTGGATGTAGCACAACCCATAGAACACGCTTTTGCCTTGCTGTTGCATATCGTGCACTTGTTTTGTTTAACTTGTAGTGCCTCCGAATTGTTTTGTACGACGATGCACACAGACAATGAGCAGCAAGCTTGTGTGATGGTTGCGTTCTATAAGATTCTTAAAAAGCGAAATCAGCACGCCATTCTTTGCGGTTTTGCAAAGATCATCCATGTATTCGCCATCCTACGTCGAAATGTCAGTTGATGAATTGTGTGCTATGCTGTGGTGATTGTGCAATGAGTACGCACACAACACGATACAGCTTCCATGTAGCCAATCAAGAGGTGGAGTTCCCGACCAATCTTGTGGTCTCAACTGAAAGAAATCGGATTGGTAGAATACAAGAAGGCAACCAAATTGACCATATCGTTGTCTCGAATAATAGGTCAATGATTGTTTGACACTTGTGTTAATTATTCGCATCATTTTATGATCAGAACTACCTCTGTCCACGGCTCGCCTGAGTTCTACCAGATTACGCTATCCAGTGGGATTTCAGTCCGACTTTGCACTGTTCAATTCCGAATATTGCTTATTCATACAATTCCTTTCAAGTGGTTAGTTCTAAATACTATCGAAGTTCACTCTCCTCCTCTCTATCCACTGACTTCTGATCCCACCCAATGACCCACCTTCGATTTCACATAATGAGACCTAGAACTTGTTTTGGAAACTCTCTAATCACTTAGCCTGCAGAATTTTCCTAAAGCGCCCTCTGTTTTGCTTTCTACTGATTTTCACTTTGATGCACAAACAGTGTGTACCACAACATTTAATATACTTTCGTGCGAGAGGATAAAGAGTCTTGGAAATTCAGTACGCGATTACATCCTTTCGTGCCACTCCAGGCAGTATTCTTCTTACCGACCACACCTGATTAGGAGACTTTCTTACGGATTTCCAATCGGAGCCTTTAGTTATTCATAAATTCACCCACTAGGCAGCACGTCAGCGTCGCGAGCTACAGTCCCATGAATGCTGGTGACCGAAATTTGTTCATGTACTTAGGTTTGTCATGCCAGGACGACCATGAACCACAAACACTCAGCAAGAGAGAGAGAGAACGAGTAGCAGGCTCATACACCATTGATTTTTTATGCTCGTCAGCTGATGGCGAAACAGCTTCGCGTTTCTCTCTTTTACCCTCACATCGTGTGAAAGTGATTTTATTTTAAGAAGGTACAATCACATCGGCAATTGTTACGGAACTGCCATTGGGTTCATGTGGCTTTCTCGGACAGACAGGTGATGGGTTTTTCAGCAGTCACGCCCTGGCAGTACCGCCACCAGTTAATTGTCATGGCGAAACATGACTTATTCGCAATCAACCTTTGGTAAGGTTCCCCCCCCCCACAATCTTGGGAGTCGTTCAGCTAAGCGTATCACTTCACCTGCGAGTTTAAGCATGACGGTTTACAGTATTCTTAGCAAAGCATTTGATACAATACAGAGAGCAAAATTCACCAACCTAAAGGATGCAGCGTATCTCAGAAAATACATGAGAGCACATTATTTTCGCGTTGCAACCACCAGGGGTTCTATTTCCTTTTGCGATCTAGTATCTGAGCAGAACTCATTAACCGACTCCTCGGTTATCAATAAGTGACCTTATCATATTTTCCTCTTTCTCACAAATGTTAACGTAGCAGCTTGTGAATGAAATCGCCTACGATCAGCGTGTTGTACATTTCGCATCTTTATCAGTGGGACTAATCGATTTGAACAAACCCGAGTGAAATGGTATGAGTGTTCGGTGGATGGATAGAGATTGGACAGTGCGTCCGGATAGATGCACTGTTCCTCGCCCTAACAAGCCACATCAACAGTTTGTTATG